ACCAGGTGCTCCTCACAAGATTTCTGTCAGAGGAGTGAAAAGAATTATCAGAAGAGTTGTCCAAGCGCCAAGGACCACTTTATTACAAGTAACTTCATTTCTGGACATTTATGGTTAGATTCCTTTGTATGTATGGATCACTTGGGTTGTTACCAACATCTGGTGAAAATTTCATGTCATTAGCACCTCTAGTAATATATTTACTGAGGAAAATGGTGACGTGTTCAATACTTATTTTATCCACTGTATATAGCACCTTCCAACAATGCCTTGCATCAACCAAAGTGCTTTACAAATACAATCGTCATAATAAATCAGTACAAGTTAAAAACACAAATTGCAATAACAGAAAGTACAAAAAAAGATATATATGATGCTAAAAAATAAACATCAAATGCCTTTTTGAATAAGTAGGTCTTAAGTTGGGCTTTGAACAGGACCAGGTCAGAGATGGCACACAACTCATAGGGAAGACTATTCCACGTTATTGGGCCGGCAACAGAAAAGGACCGGTCCCCCCATTTCTGAGTAAGGGGTCTCTGCAGTAGGTTTTGTCCTGTGGGCAGAGACGGCCCTACTCGTGATTGGTGGAGGTCTTGATGTGGGCGGAGATGGCCCAAGAGACGTGATTGGTCAGATTGATGGTGAGGTTTGAGGAGGCTGGAGGCAGCGGGGAGTAGATTGGTCGAGTCGGACAGGAAGTAACTTTTTTTGATTAATTTTAGTCATAACTTGAGAAAGAAAAGTGCTAGCTGCACGAAATTTGAACATCATATGTGTGAAAGGATGTATAACAATATGGCCTGGGTAAAACATCCCTAACCAGCCTGTAAAAAAGATAACTAAAAATCAATATTTTTTTACATGCTGGTTAGGGATGTTTTAACCAAGCCATATTGTTACACATCCTTTCACATGTACCATGTTCAAATTTCATACAGCTAGCGCTTTCCTTTCTCAAGTTATGACTAAAATTAATCTAAAAAAAGTTACTTCCTGTCCGACTCGACCAATCTACTCCCCGCTGCCTCCAGCCTCAAACCCCATCGTCAATCTGACCAATCATATCTCTTGGGCCATCTCCGCCCACATCAAGACCTCCGCCAATCACGAGTAGGGCCGTCTCCGCCCACATTAAGACCTCGGCCAATGACGATTTGGGCCGTCTCCGCCCACATTAAGACCTCGGCCAATGACGATTTGGGCCGTCTCCGCCCACAGGACAACACTGCAGAGACCCCCTACTTGCCATTTCTGGGGGTCCTTGTATTTTAACATGTAATTTAACAAAAAAGTTGCTGGATTTTTGTATCTCTGATGTCAGTGTTGAGTTTTCTTGGCATGAAGAAGAAAATTAGCTTTGATAATACTGAAAAAATTAACTATTGAAAAACAGTTTCCTGTATTCTGTAAACATTTATCAATAAAGTCAATCTTCCTCAAACCTTATTGGGCTCTTCTTTATGGCTGTTGGAAATGGTCGTCCTGGTAACTGGTGAACTGGCGCCGTTTCCGTGACAACAGAGCTTTTCCCCGAGCCTTCCCGCGATGAGTCGTCCACGCTCCGTGTCATGTTCTCCTTTTCAGGCCTGCTCCTTTGACTCCCTGAACTCCTGCCTCGTGCCTGTGGAGAAGTCTGCTCCTTGCCGGCTCCTTCCCTCCCTGCAGCTCCTTCTCTCCCTGCAGCTCCTTCCCTCCCTGCAGCTCCTTCCCTCCCTGCAGCTCCTTCTCTCCCTGCAGCTCCTTCCCTCCCTGCAGCTCGTCGCTCCTCCAGGGCTTTCTCCCTCTCCTCCAGCCTCTGAACCACTCTCTGAGGAATGGGCTCCACTCTCCCAGCGCTGGGCTGGTCCTTCTGGCTCAGCTGCTCGGTGGAAAAGGCCTTCCTCAGGCTGGACCTCCCCACCAGTTTCTTGATCCTCTGCAGCTCCTCTGTGAACTTGTTCTGGTAGCTCTGGACCCTCTGGGAGTAACCGGTGCTGTCCTCCAATGAGGACGCCCGGTGCTGGAATGCGGCTCTCCTCTGGGCTGCACCCTGCGGGGCCCGTCCCTCCTCTCTGCCGGGGCCTCCTGGCTTCTTTCTGCTGTCATCGGGCAGATCCGCACTCCTCCTCCGCTCCTCAAAAGCCCAGACTCTGTCGAAGATCTTGGGTCCTGCACGGGCCAGTTTGGGGGTCATGACGCCGCCGTCGGCGTCGGTCGTCCGGATAGGCTTAGAAGCTTCAGGGTCCGATGGCTCGGCTTTGTCGGCCTCTCGTTTTTGAACGCCGCTGCTGTTTTTGCCCGCATCTAAAGGCGGCAGGTGAGAAGACGAGGGGCCACTGGAGGAGAGCCCCCATGACTCACGAGCAGTTTGAGTCCTGGAGGGGTGAGGATTGGGGGGAAGATGGGAGGTGTGACATAAGAGACCAAGCACATCAGCAAGTTCTTTGGAGGAGAAGATGCAGAAGTGTCCTTTTGTATTTTGCGTTTAAAAAGTTCGGCGTGTTTTGTCTGTAATCTGTGCGCTTGTTACAAATCAAAACATGAAATAAGAGCAAATAAACTTCACTTGATATGTGCGATTTTGTAAAAACAAACAAAAAAAACTTCACAATTCACCCATTTAAAAATAAAACGTCTGCTTTGACTTCAAACACTCAAACGTCATGCCTCAAAAGAACCTGTGGGTTACATGATTGTAAATTTGTGGCGAAGTTCATGCCGATATTAGCTGGAATCAAAGCTAAGGCATGCCACACACACAAAAAAAAAACGGCTAAAAGACATGATGCTAATCCAAGTGTGAGGGAGAAAACATGCAAGTTTTACAAAGCACTAAAGTAGAAGAACTGCTGGGTTGCACAAATGTATCTTCTCTAATGGCGCTAATAAATATTTACAATATTAATGTGTTTTGTTAGTTTGAAATCAAACCACACAGCAATCAGACAAGTCAAAGGAAAGTGTGATCGAAGCATAAAATGAGGGAAAAAAGATAATAAATGAAGAAATGGAAAAATGTTTTTGCCATTTGGGTCCATGATGGATGTAATGTGCAATGTGTGCCGGTTTTCTTTGCAACTAGAGGGAGTTTGTGGCCAGTCTTATTGTTTGTTTTTCCTGGAAATTAAAAAAAAAAAACCAACAACCTCCATGTGCTATAACGGCATTGAAAATGTTCTCCCTCTGTAGAGGCTGAACATGCTCCCGTAGTAGTCGCTGCCGACAGAAACACTTTCCTCTGACCCTTGAACGGGCCGGGCCAGGTTAGCGTGAGATGCCCGGATAAGGGGTTCCACTCCCAGGTGACGGACAGGTGGGGCCCCCTCAACAGGACCCCCGCTGCCGTCAAAGGCTTGCCTGGCTGGGTTTGAGGGGTCCAAATGTAGCCCCGGGGGACGGGAGCCCAGAGCGCGGAGCTCTCGCTCCACCACCGGGTCGTAGGTGCCGGGGAGGGTGGCCCTGCGGTCTGAAGCATCTGGGTTGTAGTCCATCATCCTTCCTCCCTCACCTGCAGAGACACGGAGATGTCAGGGTTTTAACCAACAGGAAAGTGCAACGACGACAGGAAATCCTGAGAAGGCAGAAAATGATGCAGACATAAAAACGCGCAGATAGATGGTCTATCGACGGCTTGAAAACAGAAAATAAAACTGAAATTGGATTGGCAGTGAGCACCACTTAAGCAGAGCCTTCCTCCCTCCTCCCATCGCAAATCAGGTAATGATGGACATTTTAGCGATGAGCAACGGAGACAGACGTGCTTCAGCAGCAAAAAAACTAAAAAGGAGCCATCAGCAGCTTCTGTTAGCGAAAGGAATCCTGAACAAGCAGCGAGGTCGAAGATATAAAACATCAGACTGCTTGGCCGATGGAACGAAATGATCCTGACTCAGCGTCACCATCAGAAAGAAAATACTTCAGTTTTACGTGTCAAGGCTCCGAACACTGAACTGCAAACGCTTTGAGAATCACATAGCAAAATTTAACAACAGGCTTTCAAAGTCTAGATGCAAACAAGTAAGAAATGCATTGGTAATTTGGTGTCATTGGTAACTACTCAGTAGTTACTCTTGGTGTCATTAGTAACTACTCAGTAGTTACTCTTGGTGTCATTGGTAACTACTCAGTAGTTACTCTTGGTGTCATTGGTAACTACTCAGTAGTTACTCTTGGTGTCATTGTTAACTACTCAGTAGTTACTCTTGGTGTCATTGGTAACTACTCAGTAGTTACTCTTGGTGTCATTGTTAACTACTCAGTAGTTACTCAGTGCAATTGGTAAATACTCAGTAGTTACTCTTGGTGTCATTAGTAACTACTCAGTAGTTACTCTTTGGAGTCTTAAGTAACTACTCAGTAGTTACTCTTGGTGTCATTAGTAACTACTCAGTAGTTGCTCTTTGGTGTCTTCAGTAACTACTAAGTAGTTACTCTTGGTGTCTTCAGTAACTACTCAGTAACTACTCAATAGTCCCTGAGTAGTTACTGAGTAGTTCCTCAGTAGTTAAGCTTTTTTGTGGACCTTATTGTAAAGTGTTACCAATAATGCTTTGTTGGTAGGGTCTAAAGTTAAACACAAAACAACAACTGGGAGTGTTGCCTGTGTTGCACAGCTATTTGATGTGTCCAATGTGATGTCCCTGGTGCTGAACAACGAGCTGATTCAAATTTCCGTGTTTATAACTTTCCGTGTTATAACTTCTGAACCAGAAGAAATGTTACACATCTGATTGCAGCAATCCATTTCTAAGACAAATCTGGCCTTCTTTGATATGCTACATGACCCCCCTTTCCCATTGGAAATTTTCACTTTGATCCAATATGGCGGCTTTCAAGATGGCAACCATGTTTTTGGACATACCTTTAAAGATAGACCCCTTATCCATTACTTGCTGTAGTATTTAGATATTTAATTTTCCCTTTCGTTTCCAAAATAAAAGGGTGTCCTCAGACTTTTGACTCATCCTGTACATATTAGATTATTAAGTTTTTATAAGCGTTGTTAAAAACATGTTTGTTATGACCCCCGCACATGAAGCGTACACGGGAGTCATATTGTTTTTGTTCTGTTCTTTTTTTTTTCCTCCGGAGATTTTTGGTCAACCGTAGCACAAAAACGGCTGCACCAATCATCATGAAATTTGGCAGGACTGTAGTTGAGTCTGACCTACACAGCACCAGCCAACGGTTTTGCGATAGACCCCATATTTGAGGAGGGGGCTCCTTTCAAAGTGGGGGTGTCTGGACATGCAAAAATGCTTATAACTCAAACTGTTCAACATAGAAGCTTCAGATTTCTTTTGTTGTTTAGCTCTGATGTGGGGCTATCCATCAGGTTAACCAATACCCCCCGCCCCACCAAAAAAGACCCCCCCCCCACCCAAACCACTACAATTTTGGGATGCACCTAGCAGAGTGACATTTATTAGGAATAAAGACTTCTGAGTTCTGGTGCATTTGTGCYTGCGGGGATCATTATGTTACCACTAAGCAGTATCTAGTTTAGATTAAGCAGCTGTTATATTCCTGTTAAACAGAAAATGCATTGCCATGGCTTGGCCTATTGAAAAAACTAAAAGTAATATGAAAACTATTGTAATTTTAATTCAGTGCTCTAATAACTATATTCTCAGCAAGTCATAACTTCTTCTGTTTAAATCAGCGCTCTTGGAGTTCTGATTGTTTAAGCCTAAATTATACATCTCAGTTCTTCAGGTTGCACCTTCCCGGTGGAACCACTTCTGGAAACTGGGGCAGTGTGTCACCTTGCTGCATCACACCCTGAGGGGATTACTACATTCTCTGGTATTGGATTTCATCTGACAAACATCGCGGGCCAAGCAGAAAACCACCTTCATTAAACCCATCAATCTACATCCAAACATAATTTGGTACAAGTGTGTTTTTGGCAGCGACACTGGTGGCGCAGTAAATCTGGCAGGATATGACTGAAAAATGTTCCGGAAGCAGCTGAATTTGCCAATGCTGCACTCTGGAACATCTTTTTCAAGTAGTGTCTGCTCGCAGCCATAAAACGTTTATGAATTAGAAAGAAAGAAACTGCTGAAACGACAGATGTGTGGTCTAAAAAAGGGCTGAATCTGTGAATACCTGAGGGTCCTTTTCGTCCAACTTTGTCCTGGTGCTTCCTCGGCCCTTCTTTGGTTTCCATCTGTGGCTCTGTGGTCTCGTCCTCTGTGGTCTCAGAGTCTAAAATAACAGAATAAGACACATAATCAACACCTATAAGTGTCCCAAATCCATGAAAGGAGAAATGAGGGGGAATAATGAGACAGGCAGACTGATATGTTCTTCAAAAGTACTGATGCGCCCATTGATCAGGAAGTGACAAGATGTTGAGCCTGACTTTGTACTAGGACTCAAAAAAATCCAATTTTTTTAATGCAGTCCGTGAACGCACCACTGCCCTGCAGATATTCTGCGCTCTCAATGTTGCATCTTCAACATGGTTTTCTTTTATAATACGATGTAATTTACTGATAGATTTGGTGATAAAACACATCTAAAACAAAATAAAATATTTATGTTCTCAAACTGAAGAAAACCAAACTAACTGCCAATCGAGTGAACTCTTGGATTGTAAAGTTGGTAAAAAGAAATACAAATAAATAAGAATATATAATCTGGTTTATAAGAAAAATAATGCAATTACTTTTCAATCTCTCCATCAACCAGATGTATATTTATAGATTTCCAGTGACATAAAGACAGTCGGTCCAGTAACCTGGTGCTAGAAGAGATTTTTTTCATAAAAGTTGTGTTAATAAGACACAAATTAAAATTTTCATTTCAATCAGATTTAAAATATCTACTTATCCAAATAAATGTGTTTGTGCTAATTATGATTTCCTGAGAGAAATTGGATTTTGCAATCAGAACTGTACAAAAATTAGAAATCAGTATTGGCTTAAAAACCAACAAACGGTGCATATTGAGTGTGCTTTACAAAGATGTCTGGAGCTATTGCTATGTTTATAAAAAATAAATTTCATATTATTGAAAATATCAACATGTCTTTCTACATGTTTACTATTTTACATACACAATTAAATTTAAAAAAGATTTAAAAAATATTTATTTTATATAAAGTATATATA